ATATTATTGGCCAACAATTCGTAATGATATTACTACTTATATTAATAATTGTACATTATGTTCTACTGAAAAATACGACAGAAATCCACCAAAACAAAAATTTTCTATTTCCCCTACAGCTTCGAAACCATTTCAAATTTTACATTTAGACTTTCTTACAATTAGTAAACAAAAACTTGTCACAATCATTGATACATTTTCTAAATATGCGCAGGCATATCCTATTGCTTCTAATATAACGCAAAATATAATTAGAGTTCTAATGTTATTTATTTCTCATTTTGGTGTTCCTGATACTTTAATTATGGACAATGGTCCTGATCTAAAATCTTCTGCCTTACAAGAATATTTGAAAATGCATAAAATTAATATCCACTACATAACTCCTTTACATCCAAATTCAAATGGACCTATTGAACGATTTCATTCTACTATTCTAGAACATATACGTATTCTCAAACGCGAAAATAATAATCTTAGTATTCTTGACATTATCCCTTATGCTATTAATGGTTATAATAGTTCTATACATTCAGTGACAAAATTAAAACCATTTGACATTATTTCAGGTCATCTCTCTACGAGATCTCCTTTGACATAGACATAGAAACAGAAATTCTTACAAATTATTTAGAAGACCACAAACAACGAACAAAGTTAATGTATGAGAAAATTTTTGAAAAGAATTATAGCAACAAAGACAAAACAATATCGAAACATAACGAAACAAGACATGATCCTTTGCAATACGATGAAAACACACGTGCATATTTAAAATCAAACCCGCGAGACAAAACCGCTTCACGTTACAAACAGATACAAGTACAGAAAGATCTAGGAAATACAATTCTTACTGACAAGAATATTACGATACACAAACAAGAACTCAAACGTCCAAAAACTAATACTCAGCAAATCCCACGTGAACAAGATGTTGTTGTTTCAACTAATAATATTACACCTAGTACTAGCAGCAAACAGTGATCAAATTTTTCTTCAAGAATTAAATACAACTGGAATTTTACCTTTTGAATTAGGAAATGCAAAGTTAATCGAAAAATATCATATTTTTATTCATTATGTTAATACAGATTTGATTAAACAACAGATTACTAATTTGGTTACAGATTTTGATACACTTTTATCTATTTTAAATAATAAACATAACGATTATTTGAAAAGATTAGATTCATACATTTCTTTGACAAATACTATGATTAATGTTATTAAAGATAAATATAATATTATTAGACCGGTTAGAAGAATTAAAAGAGGACTATTAACGGACTAGGTAGCATAATTAAGGAAATTACAGGGAATTTAGATGCACAAGATGCCAAAAAGTACGATGACGCTATACGTATATTAGAAACTAACGATGAAATTTATGCAAAAACATTGAATAAACATGACATTAAATAATAAGTTAATGAATATTTTAATGAAACAATTATTAATATTAGAGAAAATGACGTAATATTAAATAGGAAATTGAATGATATCAATGATTATCTAAAATTCGGTAGTTTTAGTCATAATGAATATTTTATAGCTAAAGATAGTTTAGAACAAATTAATTATAGTTTAGTTATTTTAGCAAATATTTTAAACGATTTAGAAATATCATTAGATTTAGCTAAGATGAATTTAGTTCATAACTCAGTAATTAAATTAGATGATTTGAATTTTATGATTAATACTGTAAAGAATTTATACAATGTAGAATCATTACCATTTCCCATAGACGATAGTAATCTTCACAAATATTATAATTTACTTAATATTCAATATTATTACACAGACGAAAAAATTGTTTTTCTTATCAAATTTCCAATCACTTTACCTGAAACCTTTAAACACTATAAATTATACCCAATTCCAAATACAGAAAATAGAGTCATTATTCCACCAAAACCTTTCCTTACATTTGGCAACAATAACTATCAATTTGACGATACAAATTGCAAAGAAGTTTCAGAAAAATATTTTCGCAATATTAGACACATTATCAAACGACGAAGAATGTATCATAAAATTACTACAACTAGATAACACTCACATCAAAACATGCAATGAAATTCAAGTCAACATTACACACAATATTATAGAGAAAATAAATAACGCACACTATATTCTTTTACTAAGCACACAATCAAGAATCGATATGATTTGCAATCATCAAGAAGAAACTAAGTTTATTAAAGGAATTTTTCTTTTAAAACTCCCACACTTATGTAAATTCAGCATTGACAAGAAAAACTATTACAATCAAGAGTCGTCTATAGAAGGAAAAGCAATTATTTTACCAAGATTTAATTTCAACTACAACATTTCAAAATCATTCGAACCAATTGCAATCAAGTCAATTCAAGTAAATGAGCTATCTAAAATTAAAGAAGATCAAGAACAAATTCATAAACTCTATGCAAGGAAGACTGGAATTAACAACAACAGCATCGTGTCAATTATCATGTATATAATATTTATAACTATTATTATTATTTATATCCTGTTCAAGTATTGCAGACAAAGATACAACAAAAAGAAATTACAAATTACTCCAGAAGTAGAGACACCCCAAGAACAAGAAGGCCACAACCAACCACCAACCTGCACCCCGAGGTTTTTCATCTAGGGCCGGAGGAGTTACGGGATCCATCCCGCTGACATAGCTTATATCTAGCCACAAGATCCTCCTTGCTGATAAAGCATATTTTTAACTATATAAGTAGCAAGATCTCTACATTCGAAGAGGATAATCTTTGCCAGTATTTACACCAGTCCAGTTATATAATTTTAATTCATTATATCATTATATTGTAAAATTCAATTATTTTATATATTTTATTGTAATAAGAAATAAAGTTTTTTTTATTTTATTCTCGAATAACGAGTATAAAATTCAAGTTTTATTTTCAAATGAATTATCTTCTATCTTATGGACAATACACAGGGTTTCGATCCGAGTAGCTTTTATTTGCAAGTTGGGTATATTCCATTTGCATAATTTGTTCACAATTAATGCATATTGTTATTAGTAAACAAACTATATGGTTATCTATGCTACTGTAATGTAAATTCACGATGGAATGGTATTGTGGTAGAAAATCAAAGGCAATAAATTAATGTATAACTGCTCCGAAAATTTACTAATAAAATATGCAATTTCCAGTTTGAGATTCACCAATGCAGGAAGAGAATAGAAAGTCTATCAAAAAATATTGAAACATAGCTTTATGAACACATTGCAAAATTCGTATGTAGTCCTTTGCGGCCCAAGTGCATGTATTTTTATGTGGTAGAAATAAGGAATTTAATATAAAAGAAGTTTACCAATTTCAAATTCGGAATTATGGTCGAAAAAACCTGTACGATTACCTAAAAAGTTTGGAATTTATTTTTAGTCTATATTGCAGTAAACGCAAATTCAAAACATTAAGAAAATATGATTAATTTTTGGTCAAATACAAAGGTCAATTTATCAAATCTCCTGAACTTTAACTTTCGCTTTCTGTACAACTGCCACATTAAAAGCGCTTCTCGAAGTATTTTTGTATGCCATATTTTACTAGAAAAAATTTTATGCGAGAAGACCTAATTTTTGACAAAAATGATTTTATTGAAATTTTGCGATGCATTCACTTCGACAAGAGATTCCACGTTTGCAAACAGACAAATTCACTATGGTTTCAGCAGTTTGGGTCAAAATCATAGGAAATAGCTAAAATTGCCTCAAACCGGTAGCTCATAATACTGCGGATGAACAACTTTTTCCAACAAAGTCCAGATGTAGATTTATCGAGTATGTCAAATACACTTTATAAAGCCATAAAATTCTAGCTGGCGTCCGATTTAGAAACAAAATATGGGGTAGATGGCTGCCCTTAGTTAGGAAAAGAAGGAGCTTGAAATGCATCAATCCCTCTAAGCGGACCTTTCGAGATGAAAGTTCTCACGAATGGATAGAACTGTAATAACGGATCATTTTTTTCAAGTAAAAATTCCTCTAGAATTAAAATTAAAATCTCGAAATATTTCATTAGCTGGACTTTATGCGCAAACACGGGACAGAGCTGCTGAAAAGTTGTATTTAGTATCACAACAAGTAACAATAAAAATTATTAAAAACTAAGTTTTATTATTTGATAAAACTAATTACAGTAGTTAATATTATTATTTGACTTAAAGCCACAATAAGCATGTTTTCAATGGACCAGTCACTTTGTCTGGTACTGGGATAAATAGGTATATTCAAATGGTGTATCTAGTGTTGTTTTAAGTATGTATGGCCGAACTTTGTTTTATTATCATTATTGACCTTTTAGACAAATGCATTATCCGAACGTTAAAATCACCATACACTTAAAAATAAATTCAACTAAAATAATTTATGAAAAATTTAGTAACAGAATTCGGCATTAGGGTTTTGAATACCATAGTACAGTGGCGTCGGAACCGCGTGGGCTGTGTGGGCTTGAGCCCACCCATGAATTTTGATCAATTTCAAAAAATTATATGGGCTAATATCTCTAAAAAAAAAACAAGACCACTGGCTGTCTATCTAAAAAAAAAACGAGCCCACCCATCAAAAATTTGGTTCCGACGCCACTGCCATAGTACGTTGACTTAAAGATGCAATGCTAAAAAAGAGTATAAAAGTCCCAGAGCAACATTCAATAGTTCTTGAATTTGAAGTTCCTTATACCATTTGGCTATTAATGAATGAATATGGTATAAGGAACTTCAAATTCCAACACAAGATACACCAGCCATTTGAATGTTCAGAATATTCACATTTTGGTTAACGAATTTCAATTACGATTCCAAGTGTTAAAAACTGAGAAGAAAAATGTTTCCATGGAAATGCTTTCCTAGCCAGTTATATTGATGCAGGTGCAATTCTCAATGATTTCCAAACGAAAGCAAGTGGCACAAAAAATAGTTAAAAAAAAAATCTTTTTCTAAATATGAGTGAACACTGAGCACTTTACAAGTCTTACCTGTGCCAGCTAACAATTTCCGTTTTTGGCGAAACAAAGAATGCTTTTGTTCGGAATTAGCAGACTGACATTGATCAGCTTGTGCACAAAAGAACATTGCCGAATTTCTAATAAACAATTTCAAGAAAATTAGTTTTGTTTTTGGATTTATTTTGCATTAAAATTTATAAATTAAATTTTTACTGTTACTTTGAATAAAAGGAGTTTTAGACACGGTTCTAGACATCAGACTATCTGCAATGAGATTTTTCCGTCTGGTTCTATATTTACCAAGTTAATTCATTGTTTCGCCTCGATTAATTCTTATCGCGCAATTATATAGTAGAGAGGTCATTTGTACAGCAGACAAGTCTGACAATTTTTCTGTCTAGCGTTTGTAGTTAGTTCTAGAAGTATTATGACACATCCATAACTATAAAGTTATGGCTTATGGTATTCTATTGGCACGATAAGGGATGTCGAGATGTCGACATGTTGACCCTTTCTAGCGATTGCAGACAGCCGAACCCGGATTAACTTACATCTTATCAAGCAGAGGTCAAAAAGTACACGAGAAAAGCAGGGCGGCACTTTTAAAGTCAAATTTAGATTTTTTTTATTATTACTAACATAAGTCGCCGAAGACCAGTCTATCGAAAATTGTAACATTTTTTAAAATGTATGGAAATTTAATCATATAATATTGGTTAAAAATTAGTAAAAAATTAATAATGACTTGAATTAACATTGATTCGAATTAAGTACCGATTCAATAGTGTAAAAAGACTACTGTAAAAATTGATAAAAATTTGTATGATTTAGGATTAACCCTTTTCGGGGGAATAAAATTTAGAGATGGGTATCGTAGTACTCGAAATTACTTCCGAATGCAACATACGCAATGTGTAAACAAGATTTAATTATTTCATCAACTTTAGATTTTTTTAATTCAATAATAAAATCTAGTATTTTTGTATAAAAGTTATGTTATGTAATTACTGTACGCTGTATAAATCCATACAGTATACGATTCGTATAGTAACTTGTTAATAGGGTTAATATTGAATTAAATTAGGCACCGATTCAGTAAACGAAACTATTGTTCACAATTCACTGGATCGATACCTAATCATTAAATCTATCCCTAATAAATATATCGTTTCGACCTTCGTAGATTGCAATGAATCGTTTATAAAACTGATGAATCTATTATGTTCAGTAAATGATAAGGAGTAAAAATTTTTAATCTTTGCTGAGTAGTAAAGTTTAACCCTTTCGCTACGAGAGAAAGTGTACTGGTATACACGGGCAGTAAAGTGGATGTCGTCCATGGACGACTCGCATGTCGTGCTGTGTACGTGTGTCGTTCATAATGAACATGTTCTGTGCCTGTCTTTTCTTTAGGATTTATCACTATGCGTTGAAATATTTGTAATTTTAATTTTACTTTATTAGAAAGGCAATTTTTAATGTTTCAACAGATTTCTATTCTATTGGTTCATTCTATTCTATTGGTAATGATAGAAATATCTTCCCGTACGTTTAGAGGCACTAATAATGGACGTCCTTGTACCGAAAGGGTTAAATTAGTTGTAATAAAAACAAATGAGTATAACAGAAATTTTTTTTTATATAGAATTTGCATTTTAATTTTTGACGTTTATATAATTGAAATATTCTAGCAATAAGATGTGTTATTAGTCTGCTTAACCCTAGAACGGTATCTGCACGCCTTCGAGGCGTATATGCAGACTTTTGTATGTTTTTAGGTACTTTTATTCTGGAAATTTTGAAAAAATAAAAAAAACTATTTGTTACTAAACCAGAGTTTTATATTGTTTGAAATAACCTTTGATATCACAAAGTATACAATGACAAAAAGCAGATAAAAAATCACTTGTTAAGCACAATACCATTGTAGGGTTAAAATCAATTATGAAATTTTGTAATTTTATTATTCACGAAAGCCATCAACAATTCAGCTTTATGTATCTTATAAGTTGTGATTAAACTAAAGAGTAAATTATGCAATTATATTATTTTAACTATTTTTATGTATTCAATGCTTTGTAGAATATTATGAATTACAGAAATTCAGACAATTCTTGAGATGTTGATTTGTATGTTCATATGTTTATGAAATTTATGAAAATGAATTTATAAAGAATATAAACTAATTATTACCAATTACGAACCGACTGTCGAAGCAGAAGTACCGTAACTTGCACTACTAAATTTCTAGATTGTGTTTCTAAAGATTACTCGAACGGGGTGTTATCGTTGTTAATATTTTCTTAATGACACGTAAGGTCTATATTTCGGCACTCTATCCGATGTTAGAAGCTGGATATGATAATCAATTACAAAAATCAACATTCGGTTGTATAATTGCCCACATTAGAATGGCTTACCACTAAACAACCTTTCAAAAATTAATGTTTGAAATTTATAAACGCTCCCAAGTATGTCCCAAATTGGTTGGTTCATACAGATTTGAACATTAACACTGTTAAGAAAAAAATTGAAAAGTTCAGTCTGAGATACAAGGATAGAATACAGAACCACCCTAACATCATGGCTAAAAACTTAATAAAAAACCATGGCATTGAACGGCTCAGAAGGAAACGGCTCCTTTTTGATATCCTTAAGTAATCCTATAATATGTACAATTACTCGTAGGCTTAATTAAATATTTTCACAACCGGACTACATCTATAAGCTGAACATATCCAACATCGAATCGGATCACCAATGGGTGACTTTTCGACCTTTTTCCTTTATTTAATAAACTATCAAAATGACTGAATGTTGTTTAAGAACGACAGATTGTAATTCACAAATGTAAATAAAAAAAATGTAAATTATGTATCAATTGCATGTCTCATTAAGCAGATTGTAATTTAAATTAAATGAATAAAAAATCTGTTGCAAAATTAATTTATAAGTCGTAGAATTAAATATTTAAATCCGAATGGTCAAGTACTGGATATACTGTTTCAATGTTTGAATTCTATTGCATCTATAGCAACAAAATTTATTATATTTAATTAATAAATGTTTATTATGATACATATCCCATTAACCCAAATGGCCGGTTTGTTACTTTTGGTATTTACATAGTACAACTTTTTTTCAGGAAGAAATTAAATGGGTCCCTGCTACTCGACAATAAGCAATCAATGAGTCGTTAAAAAATATATCTGACAAAAATAAAGAATGCAAACACGCGAATACAAAGTGCATCGCATTTCGAAACGAAAATATACCATAATGAACAGTATCGACAACGGTAAAATATGATTCAGAAGTCAAAGATCGCATTGTTATTAAAAAATGAAGATAATTAGTGAACATCAGGATAACGTGAAAGAATTTTAGACATTTGGAACAGAGTCAAATTTATAACAAGATAATTGAAACCATATATCGGTATGCATGCGATTTAATTATATAAACATTATAAATTATCATTCGGTTCTACAAATACAACGTATGAAAGAATTTCTAAATGAAAATGTGTTTTAATATATAACAAATACACAAGTTTATAGAATTGTACGACGCATAATGACAAATTCATATAAAACAAATTATATAACACAAACAATTTTGCATATAAATATTTTTCGATATATCAACTGGTGCAAACTAAATCTATTGTTTGTGGTTTTTGGGATACTTTTTCCGCATAAATCAATATTATTTGGTTTTAAAGAAAAAGTTATTTTAATTTATGATAATTTAAATAATTGTTTCGTTATCTTTAAATGAAGATGGGTATTCATGTTGTAAATTCATGGGGTGTACTTTATTTTAATAAATTATCTTGTAAAAGGAAAACAAAACTGGTTCAAATTGACCATTCACTAACAAAAACCAATTTAGTAAATTGGTTTTGTGTGAAATTTGGGGTCGTACATTAATTGCATAAGGTTCAAAAGGGGGGAGGTAAATTCAAAAATAATCACGTGTGGGAGAAGGGTTTAGTAAGATATCACGTGTATTTATTTTTTATCTGAATGTAAAAGAAACTTCAATTTTTCAAAAAAAAATTGAAAGTTTTACAATTTTTTCTAGGTACCAATAATACAGGGTTTAATTTTAAATATCACCAAAGGGATAAAGGGTGCAAGAATTCTTAAACATCAATCACGTGATTAATGGATAGCCTCTTAATCACAATATTTAGTAATACTCGTGATTATTATGATCTTGTAAATTCTTCAATTATCAAATCAGTTGATTTTAATTAAAAACTAAGTTTATGATCACCCACTTCGTATCTACCGTAGGCATTTTGTATAATAATGAATTGTTATTGACCGCATAAAATTACATAAACACATTTACTGATAATATTTAGAAAATAAACAAAACAAATCGAATAGTTTTGATAAGCGATAATGTTCAAAACAAACCGGCTTTTCATTCAATCAAAACATATCAATTAATACTGTAATAACAATAACACAGGAATATATTTAAACACTAAATCCATGGCATCCAACTCGTAGGGCGCGCCCTTTCAGCGGGGGCACGATATTGCAGATATTTTTATTTTTAAAAATAAACATTTTAAAATGATAAAAAAAAATAATTATTTTTATGTATATTTTTACATAACATTTCATATTAATTTGTAGTCTGATAAATTGTGATATCAGTTAGGTATTTTTAAAATTAAATTGTTTATAAAAAATAAGGCAACATTTTTTTATATGAATCACTGCTCTAAATATTTCTTTATAGCAGGTATAAATTTAATATATAAATATAAAACGTATTGCATCTGTTTTATTATAAATAATTTGTGAATTATATTTAGATATAAAGTTGAAAAGCCGGTCCTGTTTCCCAATAGGAAATTTATTTAAGTTATGCAATAATGGAATCGAGTTAACGCAAGAAATACATTAATTTGATACCCAAGTGTAAAATATGAATTGGAACATTTGCATGACGAAGTAAAATCATATCAATTTACAAGATTTGAATTATTAGAGAAAACAGTCAATAAACATAAATTATAAATTATCAAGATTATTAAGGTGACCATTTTTATTAGAGTCAAAACCTGAACAGCAATTTTTAGTTACGATAAACAAATGCTATTTGAAAATGCAATAAAAAACAGTTTTTTTTAAATCAGGATTTTGGACATTTAGGAAGAACTTTATTATTAGATTATGTATTTGTGATTCTTTTTCATCTATGATATTCTTTTTTTCGACGATATATTATATTTTTCGATCTATGTTTTATTTCACTCTAGAGTTTGGTATAAAATTCTATTTAATTTTCTTCATAATTTTATGAAAAAATTATGCACTAGTTAATTTTCGAAAACCCGGGACAAATCGAGACGAAAAATCTAAATCCGGGACAAAGATTGCTTTTAGAAAAAAGCAAGACACAAGGTGGAAATCCGGGACTGTTCCGGCCAAATCGGGACGTATGGTCACCTTAAGGGGGCTTCCATTAATCAAAGCGAGGTTTTAAGGAGAGGGGGGGTTTCACAAAAAAAAATCACAAAATATTTTTAAAAAAAATCAAACATTTTCAGAAAGCGTGTATTTATTTTTTCTGATTTTTTAAAAAATCAGAACATTTTCAAAAAAAAATTGAAAAAATTACAGTTTTGTCGTATCTAAAAATACACGTGTTGTTCGATAGAAAAAAGGGATTTGTATGTATAAATATTTGGCAGACTCGATGATGACAGTCAAAAAATAACATTCGTATCCAGCTCCAAAGGTCTATGCAAGCAATAACAATGTTAGTAAAGTAGGGGAGACTGGGTACAGTTGTGCCAGGTTATGGTAGTGACAGTCGTCACAATAGCTAAACTATAATGATTTTGATATAGGGTCCAAAGGAGCAAGATAAAGTATGTTTGTTCGAACAAGATTCCATTATTGCATTGAGTCGGCGTCCTACATTAATTTGATCTATAGTCCAAATTGCCTTTAAAAAGTCAAAATAGTTTTCATGTTCGAATTATTTTAATAATAACTGATGCAGATAGATCACTTTGTTATTTTGCTGTAAGTTGAATATTATTAGTTGATGACCAGCAATTAGTTTTTGTTTTATTTGAATGTACATGTTGTAACATGTATTTCCTGACCTTTCTGGTTAAAATTTAAACAGATACATTAAAATTTAACTTGACTAAGACAAAATTACGAAACAGAAAAGGATAAGGAAAATTTAATGCAAGAAAACAAAAGATTTCAAAGATTTCTTGGTTAAGAAATTGTTATGTTGAAATGATAAGGTTGCATTGTGTTACATAATTATGACAATAAAAATTCTCCGGGTATTGTGGACGGTTGTGACACTCGTCCTTTTCTTGTATGATTTGATTTTACAACTAATCCATCGTACTTAAAGGCAGAATTTCAGTATATCCATATAGATAAATGTTCAAACAACCATTTAATTTACTTATCTGGTAAATTAAAATTATTGCTGTTCAAAAAAGTGGCACAACCGTACCCAGTCCCCCCTACATGGTAATAGAATGTTAATGCATATTAGTTCAGTCATTTCACCTTAATTTAGGTAAGAATCTCGAGATACCCAGCTGTAAGTTTGTAAACACTTGTATATTGACACCATAAAAGTTGTCTCAAAACCTACACATGGTAGGGTGTCAAGACCACATGTAGGTTTTGAGACAACTTTAAGGTGTCAATATATATGTATATACAGACTTACAGCTGAGTATATCGAATTCCGAGGTGCACTTACTATAATGACTGGACTATATGGACAAACATGACTGTATCTAAATTCAATAGACAAAATATAATTATTTAATAAATATATATAGAATAATATTATAATTATTCTATTACAAATTGATAATAACAAACGTACAATTAAAATAAATTGTATCAATCACTGCCACGTAGTTTTTTCAGTATTCAAGTAAATATGTGAATAGACACCAATACAACTAGTTCTATGATGTTTCAAAAAACCTTCAATCAAAGGAAATTCAATTAAATGAATTTTCAGGCTATTGAATTATAATTTACGATAGTATTTATGTTGATCGGACATAACTATGTTCCATGTAAACACATGCGGGTGATATTATTATTATTAGAATATAAGAGACCGACCATGTGCTTTGCGTCACGTAGCACAAATTCCAGGGGGTCTTTTAGAAACACTAGTTTAAACACTAAATGATACAATATGTCATCAGTCAAACGATTGCAAATACCAAGTAAATTTGCAAATCGTTGAATACAAAATATAACAATCAAATATAAATAATATATTAATATAAATTTTTATAATAATTAAAAAATATTTTTAACTAATATTTTCACTTACTTTCTGCAGTATCCTGACACTTTTTTAACGATAAGAACACACCACTAACAAGGATATGGACTAAATGCTATCCAGTGATGAACTGCAATGCTGGGCGCTTGCGGTTGATAACGTGCGCTGCCGGGTATTACCAGATCCAGCATTTTACAGCTAACATTATTAAATTTTTTAAACTACATTTTTTAAAAAATATAATAATATATTTTAATCCATGTATTTATTTTTAATGATTTTAGTATACTTACTATATTTATAATAAATAATATGCAATATTAATAATATACAATTTAAAATAATAATATTTTCAAAAAGCTGTCAGATTATGACTACAATGAACAACGTGATGTTTGAACTCTTTGGGTACCGCGTTTTTCAAATAGCATATAATATATGATATTGTTTATAATTATTAACAATTATTAATATGTTAATAAATAATCTGCAGTTTATTTTGGCAAAACAAAAAGATATAAAACCGAAAAGTAAATCATACAATATTATATTAATATTTCAATCATAGATTAATAAGCATGATTTAAATAGTTCAATTTTAAGATTTTTTTTAAATTAAGTTTTTATAATAAAACACATAAAAATTTACTTGTTTTTCAAATAATTTAGTTGGATTTAGTATTATATTTACTATAAATAATATGTAACAATAAAAATATATTATAAATATAATATAAATTAACTGTTAAATAAAAACATTATGATGTTTAGACACATTGGGTACACCATTCTCAAACTTAGCATATAATATATAATATTGTTTATAATTATTAACAATTAAAGTTTACTATATACTTTAAACCAAAAAGTAAATCTTACGATATAATTATATCAATAATTTATGCAAAAAGTTAATTGAAAATGAAAATACAAAGTAATCAATATTTAAAAAAAATGTTTTTGTAATATAATGCATGAAAATTTGCTAGTGTTTTTTAAATGATTTTGTGTTATACTTACAATAAACAATATGTAACAACAATAATATATAATTTATAATAATAATGATTTCAAAAAAAGCTGATCGAAAAAGCATTATGACAATTAACAAGGTAACATGTTAAATCTACAAATATTTACCTGTTGTTGTGGGATACACAAATATAATAAAATTACAAGTTTGGACTTCAAAGAACATATTTATCTTTGTCTTCGACACTGTCTTATTAATATATTGCTCTAAATTAAATTTTATTTATAACAAAGTAATTATACTTTACTTTTATTTCAAGTCGTTGTACATTTTTGAATTTTTTAAATGAACTAAAATTAATTACTGAGATTTTCTTTCCTTACTGAGCTTGGCAGAGGTCCGAAGTATCATAAAAATGCTAAAGGTAATTAGTACTATTATTACCATATTATTACATTAACCATGCAATTATTGATAAAGAAACAAGCAGATAAGAAGTTGTGAACAAAAGTTTATTATCAAAAAAATATATTACTTTTGTGTAAAAAGTACTACAAAACGAAATAACAAATACATATGTTTACAAAGTTAAAGAAATATACAAATTAAATAAAATATCGACTTAAATACATACAGAATCACATTTGATATTTTTGATAATGTACATAATATTTGTTCATTCATAATAATAAGTAATTTTATACAATCTAAACTTATCTATATAAATAAACAATTTTATTTCATACTACCTAAAATTACATTTTTGATTTTTAACTAGCAAATTAATTACAAATGGTTAATACTTTAAATTCTTTTTTAGCTTATAAGCTATTGACTTCTGAAGTACTCTGCTTATTTCTAACTGTTTTATAAATTTTATTTTGCAACTTTCTATATTATTTTGAAAAGCAGCAAACCAAAAATTGCCAAACATATGTAAAAAATATAATGAAACGTCAAAATAACTAATAGATAAAGAGGAAACTGGCTATTTACAACTCAAAGTCTTAAGTATATTATGTTTACTGATACAAATGAGTTTTAAATGTAATATTTTTACATAAATGACACAATGAATTTTGAGATTATGATATATATGTATTTCATGTTACATTTATAATGTGGAGTTTGTGTCCACAATTTGAGATTCATATTTTAAAAAATATCACATATAACGGGAATTTCAAACGTATGGCAGGAAATAAGATTATTGCTCATCAATCAAATATAAAATACAATACATACATCGATTTCCTTATACCTAAGTATCTGAAATTACAAATCGGGTAAAAATTACAGTAATGATATGTGTTAAAATCACCTAAAGAGTACATGTAAAAAGTTGCATGAGCTTGAAATTTGAGCAATTCATTACTTCAGATTTAAACATTTCTTCATAAAAAACAAGGATTCATAAAAATTATTGATATGATATTTTGGTGTTTAAATAAATATAAATCATAAATATTATACTATGAATTCCCTAACATATTTTTAATTAAGATCACTTTCTCATTAAGTAAATTACATAAAAATAAATGCTTACATATAAGCAAACTTGAAATTCATTTTTTAATTAATATTGAATATTTCATTTCAAGGTGGATTTCAAAAACATTGAAGATTAACCAGAATAGCTAATTGATCATTTTTTTGTAATTGAAAAATATTTAGATTTTCAATAAACAAAAGAAAATCAAAATATATGGAAATTGTTTCAGAAGTAAACAAATTAATTATAGCTGTCACAATGAATCGATGACCCAGTTTAGTAAATGGTGCAATACAAGTTCATGTTGTAATAATATATCAAATATATTAATGACAATTATAAAGTTGCCCAACATACTCATATAATTCATTTCTTGCAAACCTAAACCCAGCAGGATATCATATGGTTACTTAATATAATTAATTATCACGTAAATATAATGCAATACGAGCATTATAGTTCTCAATTTTATATAATATTACTTATTAATGCTTAAGATTTGATTTTAGTTTTGATTTCACGAGCTAGTCCACCCCACGATAATTTGTAGACCCTAGATCTCCATCTTATAGCAGGATTCCATAAAGAATGTAAAAACAAATAAGGACCACTGCACTCTCGAAATAACCAACCAACTACATAATCAAACTTATTGAAAGGTAAGGATCCATTCTGCAAAAAAAAATTGATTATTTTTAGTCCTTAATTTGAAAATTGTATGCCATTTTAAACATCTGATAAAAATTAGACAAGTGTTCATTTAGAAATAAAAATCATATCACTGGTACACATTACTAGTACATGGAATTATGAATTATCTAGCAATTATATTATATAGATTTAATTTAAAAATTCAGTAAAGTTAAATTATATAATAATGTAAATTAAATTTGAGTTAAATTGTAATTTTAAACCAATATGAGTTACATAAAATATCTACAACTTGTCAACTTTTTCACAATATTACTAACCTGAACTATTGTTAAGATTATCCAATCCAATATGAACCACACTAAAATATGAATCAAATAAAAAACTAATGAGTCCCAACCGAATAATAAATTAACTGCCCACGAAGCACAAGCTCCAAGAACCATGCATTCCGCCATCGGCTCCAGCAGAATCATGACTGGTAACATAGCTATCCTCAGTTTAGCCCACCTAGCTAACCTGGCTTGAAAACTTGTGATGTCACAAAAGCCAGAATTTTGCCAAGCGGGTTGACTACTAACACAGATTTTCCATCCTCGGTCAGTGAAAGATTTGGCAATGAAAAAATCTTCTGCTAAATAGCAGCTAAACGATTTAATGCCGCCCACTTCGTCAATTAATGATTTCCTCATGAGGGCTGACATACCAGTATGGCAGTTAATTCCTAACAGGTCCGCTGCAAGGTAGATTCTGGATTGCACTGTACCGAAGTATATCTGAGAAAAATAACGTAGCTATAAGATGAATTATATAGATATAAGTATAAAAATAAATTATACAGATATAAGATATAAACTAGTTGTGTATGGCATTGTTAGATATACAGATCCAAGCTCTATGCATCAAAAGTCATTCTTATGCCTAACGAAATTAAGTAAAATCATAAATAACTAGTGGTGTATGGCATTGTGCCTTAAGGGGGTATTCTACTGTAGAATTTTGAAAAAATCGAAAAAATCGAAAAAAATTTTTTTTCATATTTTCAAAGTTTAGTTATTCAAAAATAAGTCATTAAAAGGATTTTTCAAAATTACTATTATTTCCTGAGTTATAGCCGTTTTAGTGACGTGGCCTCGGTTCGGGTCCGACTTGTCTCAAAACTTTGAACGCGATTTTCTCGGAACTACTTTTTTCGAGCTGGCGGTAAGGATATCTCGAGTTCTAATGAACCGATTTACTTCAAATTTGGAGAGGATCTTCTCTATACATCGCTTTATCGTATGGACCTTGCCCAAAACTATAACTTTTTATTTAGTATTTTTAAAAAATTCAGAATTGTTAAAAAAACATGAAAATTTTTTTTTTTTTTCAAACTGCCGCCATTCAAACAAAAAAAAATTTTCTAACTTATCCAAGGTTCATACGATAGCGGCATCTATTATAATTAAGAATCCATCTATTTTTTATGTTTCAAATCACCAGGAGGGTTGGAATCATGTATGCCAGAATACCCTCTTTTTTTGGGAACCCCCACTTTGACTGCTCATAACTTTGTGAATTTTAATTTTTTTTTTTTAATAATTTTTTTATGTAATAATAAAATATCAATAAACAAATGATAAAAAAATCGATAGGAAAAATATTATTTGTTTCCTTTATACGGCGCTTCAAAAACCGGGCGAAATTCATGACTCTACAGTAGAATACCCCCTTAAGGCAATTTGCAGAAACTTCCGTAACAAAATGTTCGAGGAATATTAAATGTTTTGAAATAAATTATTATAAATACTGTAACACTGTCTAATATTTATTTATAAGAATTATATAAACTTAACTGCAAAGTAAAAATTATTCATTTAAAGCATATAAGTGAGCTTTAAAACTTAGCCAGAATTAAAATTAAAATCCTATGGGAAGTTAATTAATTAAATAAGTCAAATCATATAAAAAAATGTAGCATATTGACATGAGCCTTGTTATAATGATATAATTGTAATGAGGGCTTGTAGAATAAACAAATATACTTTTTTTTTTCACACTTATTACAAATTATCAAATTATTATGTGGGAGCATTTATGAATTTGTGTTATGACCCTTTTCATAATATTTAAAAAAAATAATATTATGATTGAATATAGAAATAGTGATTTGTTTTCATTTTAACACAAAAATAATTATGAATTTTAAGTAAATGCTTATGGTAAAAATTCTTAAGGGGGCGTCCATCAATCACGTGAGCGAGTTTTTAAGGATTTTTAGACCCCCCCTCTCCCTTGGTGATATTCAAAATTACCCCCCCTCCCCCACCAAGCATCACATGTATTTTTAGTTATGTAAAAAAACTGTAAAATTTCTGATTTTTTTTGAAAATGTTTGAAGTTTTTTATAAAAAATAGTAAAATGAATACACATGATATCTTGCTATACCCCTCCCTCCCCCACGTGATATTTCGTGATTTTTTATCAAACCCCCCCTTCCCCTAAAAACCTCACGTGATTAATGGACGCCCCCTAAATACAAGATAGAATTTTTATATTTATCATTATATGTACTTTACATAAATAGCAAATAAACAAACCTTTTCAAAAGTAGCAGCAAAACCATCTCTGTCACAAGTGAATGGCATCTGATGTACAAGGCCAACACCTTCTGTCATATGCATTACCATATCTAATAGTGTATCTTCTTTCACTATAAATAATGAATAAATGATTATATAATAATGGAAGTTTCAGAAAACAATTAAATATATATTTAAAAAATGCACTCACTTCTTAAACCACTATCGGATATCATAACCAACTCATGTTTGGCTGCTTCAAAACCAGGGTTCATGTTATTGATCTTTGGATTTACACCTACGTCAGAACCACCTAAAAACAAAAGTTTAGTTATAAATAATGCACTTGTAGTGAAGAACAAATAATTGTCATAAACATGACAAAGAAACCATTACATAACATAATTTTTTTAAATACATTTGGAAATTTTAAAACCTTAGCAGTAAACAAAGTCTCTAACCAAAAGTTATTGCAAAATCATTTTTTAACTAGTAATAAACATCAAAACTGATAACTTGTTTCGTGAAAGCATGTAAAACTATATTCCAAAGATAATATTCATAAATTCTATCACTACCTATGAATAATTGAGCATCAACAACAGGATATTTCTCCATGAGCTTTCTGACTAACATTATCGCAGGATCGCTATCATCTTCAACGCAAAATAATAGTTCAAATTGCTGAAAATAAATAATTATTAGATATTTATTTGCAATACAATTATATTGTAATGGTACATTAAATAATTACAGAATTAGTATTAAACTAATATGTTAATAATTATGAGAATAAATAGATAACTATAGAGATAAATAGATAACTATATAGATGAAGAGTATGATTTAAGACAAAACTTATATGAAGATATATAAAAACATCATATAAATAATAGGAGTTATTAGTCACTGTGAAGATTATCGAGTTGTGTACAATAAACAAAACTTTAAAGAAAAAAGAAATCAGATCAAACATGTTAAAAGAAAGAATTTTAATATGAGATCTATTAATAAAGAAAATAATTATTAGAAAAAATACAAAGAAGTTGCAGAAGTGTAGAAAGAAAATGTTTAAGGTACATTCTTCTGCCTTTGCCATTATCACTTTAGAGAAATTTAATTACTGCACTTTTAAATACTTGCATACGCTGTAATTATTAGAAGAGTGAAAAGCAACAACAGACATAAAAATAGAAAAATGTGTTAAATGGTTGAGTAACTTGTGGGAGTTAAATTTCTCAAGATGTCCTTAGTCTTGCAACTTACTGAATACTAAAAATATAATATAAAAATTATTAAAACTACCTGGACCAGGTTCACAAATATACACTAATACAACTATAAAATTAGGAAAATTCGTTTAATATGGATGGTAGCAATAAACCTTGTCCATTTCTTAGAAAAGATAAATGGATTTACAACCAAAATAAAATTTGATGCAATAATCAGTTTTCTTCTATATTGAAAGAGATTTATAATAATAATAGAATTAAAAGGTTTGAATTTATTAAGGCTATTTTAGAAAGAATACTTAATAGGCGAGCATAGCTCACTTAGTGGCGTGTTCGATTCACATGACAGAGATCTTTGGATCAAATCCTGTCAATGACTTAGAATTTATGAAAAAAAAATATGTGTAGTTAATTTGAAATTTAATAAAATTGTATTTGTTAAGTTAAAATTGAATGAAAATTAAGAAAAATAGGAATTACAGAATTCGAATAGCTGAATTGTAGTAAGAGTAAGAAGAAAAAAATGTTAGAATTTGCTGATACTAAAAAAGAAGAAAGAAAAAAAAAGTGTATTGAAGATTGAAGTGGGAAGTAGAATGAAAATGAAGAAGTTGAATGGAATTAGAAATTTGATATAAAAAAAAATGAACTAATATCCAGTGCCTACATGATGTAAATAATATTGTAATTATATAAATATTTAACACTTTCGGGATGGCACCGATTTCAAAACAATATACTTTACCGGCTGTATACTTGATTTCATTGTGTATGTTATGCAATTTGTTTGATAAAAATTTGTGGTCATTGAAGGACATACATTTATAATATTAATTTATTTTTGATCATTTTATAAAGAATGGTGACGTTCAAAACAATTTCCAAAATGCATAGCTGGTTGATTTTGACATGTTTTACAATAAAATGTTGTTCGCCGCCTTCCTCCTGATGCTTTTCTGTAAGAACAGACAATACAATCCCTTTTTCTATCACTCGCATTTAGAATATGCCACCGATTAGTCAGTGTTTTTGGTCATTTTTTGCTGCCATAATGGTATATTTTTTCTATTATATTGTCTAATAATTCATTTATAAAATATAAAGTAAAATAATCTATTGGATGTCTTATATTGCTTGGTATTTGTAGTCGGGGTGTTTGTTGATCGTAAAATTTGTCTGTATGAATGTCTATTTGAAACTCATCTTCACTACTGCTCAATTCACAAAATTTACCAGTCGTTTTGCCATATTTAAAAGCGCTTGGTCGTTTTAAGTATTAAAAAAAGACCATATAGCAAAGAAAAAGGCTAAAAATACTACTAAAATAACTTAAAATTATTTTCAAAATATAATACTGTTTATCACTGCTATATGTAATTTATTCAGCTTTTCGATGCAAACTGAATCATTGTTTATAAAATAGCCTGTGCCTCACAGAGTATGTTTGTCCACTGAGGTGGACAGCCGTCCCCAAAGTGTTAAAATGAATTCTTAACAACAATGATAATTCAAATATTTCAAAGGAATCCTTAACAGGATAATTAAAAATAGCGCCAAAAATGTCTGTTAATACTGTTTCACAGATAAAATGATATAATAGGTTGTCAAATATCTCCCTTCCGCCTTTTTGTATTATAAACCAAGAGCAAAAAAGCGGAAAGGAGATATTTGACAACCTAATACTATAGGTAGAACAAAATTTAAATGATTAATATGGACAGGAGAGGGAAAATGAGTAGAATAAAAAATACAAAAATTAATTTATTTATTACTTACTGTTGGATACGTCATAGTAAAGAATGTTTCTAAGTTTGTATACAAATTTGGATCGACACCCATTAATGGTTTTATTATGGATATATTCGGTACAGGTACTTCAGAGTCACGTTCTGTAATTTTCTTGTGTAGCTTGCATTTTCTACAAAACACACAGCACATGTAATAAACTAGTAAAAGTGAAACTACCGTTCTATTAAATAACATTATATTTACCCGCCAATGATTGCCAGAAGATGTATGACCCATAAGCCGCACCAAAAAACAAAAAAGGTGATAGCTATCCCATACAAGGAATAGATCATGGGTCCCATATTCGATATTTCATTTCGATTTATATCTTTTTACCATTAGGTACTAGTTTAAAGGTGAATAAATTAGCCAGGCTGCAATGCAAAAAATTCACAATCAAGGCCCGAATACGTCTGTCGGCGAACACATATTTAGAAATAGATCTATAATCGATTATCACACGCGAAAACAGTCATTGTTATAACATTTTTCTTTTACTTTCGGCAATAATAGTAACGAATGCGGCAAACAACACATCAACACAAGTGCACTTGTCAAACAAGTAACACCGAATACCTTCAACGTACGAACGTGCGCATAGAGGCGCAGAGAGCGACTGTCGCCCGAACGAGTATCACTGCAGTACGAGAGTGTTGCCAGATATTGCGCTTACGCGAAACTTCGAAACTACGAAAATCCGAAAATCCGAAACTCGGCTCAATGCTCAAAGTAAGTTTGAATTAATTAATAGAATTAACTAGCTGTAAGTGGAATTCTGTCTTAAGGCAATTAGGGCATCGTGCCTTAAGGCAAATTGCTGAAACTTCCCGTACCAAAAATTATTATTTTTTTTAAAAACGATTAACATTTTTGAAAAAAAATTACTTCGAAAAAATAAGTTTTTAGAGAAACTATAAATTGGACAAAAAATTACTTTTTTTTGAAAAAAAAAATTTTTTTTTTAAATTTTAAAAAAAAAAAAAATTTTTTTAAATTTTTTTGTTTTGAAAAAAAAATGTTTTCTTTATTTTGACATATTTTGGAAGATCTGAACTTGTTTTTCAAAGCAATCGTGCTGCTTTAACTGCATAGAGACAAAATATAAAGCGCGTAAGCGCGGCGTCGCTGTCTAACGGGTAAACATTGATACGGAACCCATAGGAAAATAAACAAAATTTATACTTATTGTTAAAATCTCTATAAAATATCTGAAAATTTGATGTGCATATGTCTAATGATCATTTTTGACCGCCAAATGGCATTTTTTTCTACTTTTTTCGTTAGATCTCCGAAACCGCTAGACCTGCCTTTATGAAAATATGATCAATTCTTTACCTTGTCAATACAAGTAAAATGTTTTTTGAATTATTAAAATCGGACGCTCTGTTCTCTTAAAAACTGAGTTACCGTTTTCGGCACTTTTTGCCCCGTATCTCCGGAACGGCTAGACCTGCCTTTGCCAAAAACTAATCAGCACGTCTCCTTATCAATACGAATCGAATGCTTTTTGAATTATTCAAATCGGTTGATCCGTGTTCCCGAAATCGTCGACGAAAATTTGTATCCGCACATACATACACACACGCACACACACACACACACACACACACACACACACACACACATACATACATCCATTTTTTCTAAGGTATGCCAAAATGTTCAGAAACCTCTGAAACGTAAAGATATATAAAAATTTTCATTTTCGATTTTTTTGCGATTACTATAACTTACCCTACGGGAAGTTAATTAATTAATTACATTATATTCTTTATTAATTATCAAATCTTATGTATTAATTTATGTATTTTGTAATATCTCATTCATATGTTAAACTTCGAAACTCCGCTCAATGCTCAAAGTTCAAATTAATTATAAGAATTAATTAATTAAGTACATTATATTTTTTATTAATTATCACATCTTATGTATTAATTTATGTATTTTGTAATATCTTATTCATATGTTAAACTTCGAAACTCCGCTCAATGCTCAAAGTTCAAACTAATTAATTACATTTTTTTAAATTACAGTTTATTAATTATCTCAACTTATGTGCTAATTTATTTATTTTTTTGAGTGCTACTTACTGATTTTATCATCTCATTAATGTGTTAAATTCTGTATTTATTAACTTCCCGTAGGGTAAGTTATAGTAATCGTTCAAAAATCGAAATTGAAAATTTTTACATTTCTCGACGTTTTGAAGGTTTCTGAACATTTTGGCATACCTCAGAAAAAATGGATGTGTGTGTGTATGGATACAAATTTTCGTCGACGATTTCGGGAACACCGATCAACCGATCTGAATAATTCAAAAAACATTCGATTCCTATTGATAAGGAGACGTGCTGATTAGTTTTTGAGTAAGGCAGGTCTAGCCCTAGACAATCTAGCCGTTACGAAGATACGGGGCAAAAAGTGCCAAAAACGGTAATTCAGTTTTTAAGAGAACGGAGCGTCCGATTTGAATAACTCAAAAAACATTTTACTTGTATTTACAAGATGAAGAACTGATTGAATTTTTTGGAAGGCAGGTCCAGCGGTTGTGGACTCTCAATAAAAATAAGTTAAAAAAATGTCATTTGGCGGCCAAAAATGTTTATTGGACATATGTATATCAAATTATCAGATATTTTATACAGATTTTAATAATGTGTACGCATTTTGTGTAATTTTTTTGGGTTCCGTACCAAGATTTTTAATTACGGTACGGGAGGTTCCAGCAATTTGCCTTAAGGCAAGCACAATGCCATCCACCCTACTAGTTCATTAATTATCTCATCTTATGTGTGAATAAATTTCATTTTTTGAGTGCTACTTACCAATTTTACTATCTTATTCATGTGTTAAATTCTGTATTTAACTTCCCGTAGGGTAAGTTATAGTAATGGGCCAAAAATCGAAAATGAAAAATTTTGCATATCTTTACGTTTCAGAGATTTCTGAACATTTTGGCATACCTCAGAAAAAATGGACGTTGTGTGTATGTGTGGAGACAATATTTGGTCGACGATTTCGGGCGTACGGATTATCCGATTTGAATGGTTTAACTAGCTGTAAGTGGAATTCTGTCTTAAGGCAATTAGGGCATCGTGCCTTAAGGCAAATTGCTGGAACTTCCCGTACCAAAAATTATTTTTTTTTTAAAACGATTAACATTTTTGAAAAAAAATTACTTTGAAAAAATAAGATTTTTGAGAAACTATAAATTGGACAAAAAATTAGTTTTTTTTGAAAAAAAAAATTTTTTAAAATTTTTTTTTTTTTTTTTTTTTTTTTTTTTTTAATTTTTTTTTTCTTTATTTTGACATATTGTGGAAGATCTGAACTTTTTTTTCAAAGCAATCGTACTGCTTTAACTACATAGAGACAAAATATAAAGCGCGTAAGCGCCGCGTCGCTGTCTAACGCATAAGCATTGGTACGGAACCGATAGGAATGTTAACAAAATGTATACTTATTGCTAAAATCTCTATAAAATGTCTGATAATTTGATGTGCATATGTCTAATGATCATTTTTGACCGCCAAATGGCTCATTTTTTTACTTTTTCCTCTATATCTCCGAAACCGCTGGACCTACCTTCATGAAAGTTGTATCGATTCTTTATCTTGTCAATACAATAAAATAAAACGTTTTCTTAAAAACTGAGTTACCGTTTTCGGAACTTTTTGCCCCGTATCTTCGGAACGGCTTGACCTGCCTTTGCCAAAAACTAATCAGCACGTCTCCTTATCAATACGAATCGAATGTTTTTTGAATTATTCAAATCGGTTGATCCGTGTTCCCGAAATCGTCGACGAAAATTTGTATCCGCACATACATACACACACATACATACATACACACACACATACATACACACACACACACACACACACACACACACATACATCCATTTTTTCTAAGGTATGCCAAAATGTTCAGAAACCTCTGAAACGTAAAGATATATAAAAAATTTCATTTTCGATTTTTTTGCGATTACTATAACTTGCCCTACGGGAAGTTAAAAAACATTCGATTCCTAGTGATGAAGACGTGCCGATTAGTTTTTGAAGAAGACAGGTTTCGTATCTATGTTTATCCGTTAGACTGCGACGTGGCGATTGTCGAAAAAGTTCAATTTCAAAATTTTCAAAAAATTCCAAAATATAAAAAATCTTTTTTTTTTAAATTTCAGAATTCAAAAAAAAGTTTAAAAAAATTTTTTGCCGTAAATCGACGTTTTCTCAAAAACGGCTGGACCGATTTCAAACATTTAAAAGCCATTTGATGTATCTCGATGAGGAATAGCGTTTGTGCGACTATCGACCGAGCCGTTTCTTTATAAATCGCAGAAAAGTGAAAAAAATTTCGTCCACGTTTTAGCCCGCAATTCTGAATCCATTTTGAAAATTCAAAAACAGTTCGAAAGATATTGGTTGGAAATCGACCTGATTAGTTTTTGGTAAAGATCGGCCGGACCGTTTTCTTGTAATGAAGTGACGATTTTTATGAATTTGTTTTTGACGATAGATATCATAGTCTTATAGATCATACTAAAATATTACGGTCCTACGACAAGTCGTTTGATTTTAAAAATTCGTCAAAGTTTGCAAAAATTAGTATCGTTTTTTTTGGCGTTTGTCAAAATTAGAACTTTCATCGACGTTTGCTCACAACGGCCGAGCCGTTTCTTTGTAATTTGTGATTTGAAAAAAGTGTTAAACTTTTCGTCCACATTTAAGCTCATACTACCAAATCCATTTTAAAAAATCAAAAACTGTTCATAAGATATTAGTTGGAAATGATACTGATTAGTTTTAGGTGAAAATCTACTGAGCCGTTTTCTTGTAATTAACTGTTGAAAAGCCGATTTTTATAGAACTTTTTTGGTGAAATATATCATGGTCTTATAGAACTTACTGAAATACTACGGCCTTACGACAAGTAGTTTAATTTTAAAAATTCATCAAAGTTTGAGAAAATGAGTAGTTTTTTTGACGTTTGTTAAAATTAAAATTAGACGATTTACTTGGTATAACGATAGAGTACTTGGTCTTAATGAACATACTAAAACATTGAAGTCCTACGGAAACTGGTTCAATTATAAAAATTATTTATTTGTGAAAATTTGCTTTTAGAAAATACTCCGAGTTAACGTGTTCATTCGTTTTCAATAATGTGTAATAAATCCACTCGGAATATTTTTAATCACTCATAAATTAATTTATTTCTTATGGATTAAGTCGATTATTTACACATATCTGGAAGTTCATGTAACTTACCTCAATACAAAATACCAATACCAACTAGTTTACGGATATAGCTCATACATGTTGTATCTCAGTCAGATAATTATTACTCATTGTCAGACAAATCATCCGATATTTAATGAGGAAAAGTTTGATTGTTTACTCATTTTCGAAAATAGCATCTTATCACAAAGGCTATGTCTAATGCATTCATGTTTAGATTTATTTATATATTGTTTGCTTATTTATACACTTGTTGAATGATTTCTTGCTCTATTTCTATCAGTAAATTTATTTGATAATTAATTTATACCTGTATATTAATTAAAAAATCAATTAGTTAATTTAA